AGGGTGGCTCCTGTTGAGGCCTCACTCTTACCTGAGTTTCAGGGGTCCTCTTTCCCCCCAACTGGAAACATACTGCAGTCGATCATGGAAAACTGACTTCCCTGAACTGCAGGGCTTCCTCTGAACTTCAGAGCCCTGGTTTTAACAGCTGTCAAACTCCCTCCTAATCTGTGGTTCACTCCCACTGGAGAATTGTGAACACTTCTGATTGCTTGACAAATGCCACCCCCAATGCACCCATCGTAAAGACCCTGCCGCAGTCATCCACAATTCACCATGCAGGGCTCTGGCACGTACTCCTTCATCTTGACTTCAACTTTCTTCCGTGTAAGAGAACCCAATACAACTAAAAGCACATTTCTTAATAGAAATTTTGCAGATCAAAAAGGGGGTGGCAAGATATATTCAAAGTACTGAAAGAAAAAAAATTTCCAAACTCTACTGGGCAAAGTTTCCTTCAGAATTAAGTGAGAGATAAAGGATTTTTTGGACAAGCAAAAGCATCATCAGTAGATAGGTATTATTAGATACTTTATTTTTTAAAAATATATTTCTATTGATTTTGTACAGAGAGGAAGGGAGAGAGATAGAGTTAGAAACATCGATGAGAGTCATCTATCAGCTGCCTCTTGCACACCCCATACTGGGGAAATGCCCGCAACCAACGTACATGCCCTCGACCGGAATCGAACCTGGGACCCTTCAATCCCCAAGCCGACGCTTTATCCATTGAGCCAAACCGGTCTCGGCATTATTAGATACTTTAAATAAATTTCTTTAAGGAAATAAAAGGAGGCTAATTAGTAACAGGAAAACATAGGAAAGAATAAATCTCATTGGTACAAGTAAATATACAATTCAGAATAATCCAATGAGGTAAATTATTCACTTATACAGCTAGTATGAAGATTAAAAGATAAATGATAGCTATAACTACAATAATTGCTAAGGGATACACAAGATAAAATTACATCAAAAACTTAAAATGTGGTAAGCCCTAACCGGTTTGGCTCAGTGGATAGAGAGTTGGCCTATGGACTCAAGGGTTCCAGGTTCGATTCTGGTCAAGGGCATGTACCTTGATTGTGGGCACATCCCCAGTGGGTTCAAGAGGCAGCTGATCAAATATTTCTCTCTCGTGGATGTTTCTAACTCTCTATCCCTCTCTCTTCCTCTCTGTAAAAAATCAATAAGATATATATTTTTTTTAAAAATTAAAATGTGGGATAGGGAATTAAGAATATAGACTCTGCCTGACCAGTTTGGCTCAGTGGTTGATCATTGACCTATGAACTAGGAGGTCATGGTTCCATTCCTAGTCAGGTTGCAGGCTCAATCCCAAGTAGGGGGCGTGCAGGAGGTACCTGTTCAATGATTCTGTCTCATCATTGATGTTTCTATCTCTCTCACTCCCTTCCTCTCTTAAATCAATAACAATATACATTTTAAAAAGAATATAGAGCTTTAAAATACATTCAATTTAAGTTGTTATCAACTTAAAATAGACTATTTTAAATATAGATTGCTTTATGTAATGGTAATCACAAAGCATCTATAGCAGCTACCCAAAAGCTAAAGATAAAGGAACCTAAACATAGCACTACAAAAAATTATCAAGTCATAACTTGATAATGAGGTTAAGAAAAAAAAATTATTAAACAGCCAGAAGACAAATAAGAAAATGGCAGTGAGTACATACCAATCAACTATTATTTAAATGTAAGTGACCTAACTTTTCCAAAAGACATAACAAAACATGAGCTCACAGATACAGAGAAGAGACTGCTGTTGCCAGAGGAAAGCAGTAAGTGGTGGGGGAAATGGGTGAAGGGGGTCCAAAGGTACATTCATTTATAATATAGTTATTTCCTGGAGATGCAATGTACATCCTGTGACTATAGTTAACAATAATGTATTTTATTTCTGAAAATTGCTTTAAAAATTATTAAAAGTTCTCATCACCGAAAATGAGACAAGCCATAATGGTTACTTGCTGAGAGTTCTTATAAGTGTATTCCTTGTATCACATGATCTCACACATCTATGGGAAATAATGAACAACATAAGCTGAAGAACAAAAACAGACCTGGTGACAGGGAAGCATCAATCAGACTGTCAAACCTCAGAGGGAAAGCAGGGGAGGGTGGAGAAAAGGGGGAGAGATCAACCAAAGGACTTGTATGCATGCATATAAGCCTAAATAGTGGTCATGGACAACAGAGGGGTGAGGGCATATGTGGGGAGAGGTTTGGGATGGGAATAGGGGGATGAGGACAAATATGTGATACCATAACCAATAAAGAAATTAAAAATAAAAAGTTCTCATTACAAGAAAAAAAAATTTGTAACTAAGGATGGTAATGGATATTCAGTAGACTTACTATATGATCATTTCCCAATATATACAAGTATTGAACACCTGAAACTATAATAGAATGTCATATATGCCATTATATCTCTTTTTTTAAAAACCCACAAAGTACTTAGAGATAGAATTAACAAATTTGTGAAAGATGTGTATGCTGAAAACTACAAAAAGTTGCTTAAAGATCACACTAAATAAAGACAGAGGGTTTTTCCAAGAAGAGCTTATAATATAGTTAAAAGTGAAATTACTATAAAAGAAACTTAAAAATTATTAAATAGTCAAGATAGGATAGTGGTATGATTTCTCAATTTGCATACATATCCACTTTGAAAGCCTGGAAAAATGTTTCAGTAACATAAGGCAAAACTCCTATATCCAGTTTAGACTTCTCCCTTTATTCTACATAAGAGAAGCATATAAATTCAATAACCTTCTTTGTGCCTATTACTGCCCCCCAAAGTAATTTATAACATATAATTCTATCTCTAGAAAGCAGTTAAAAATGGTCTCATAAATTGAATATGAATAAAAGTATGAACAGGAGCACAAGTTTTAAAGTCTTCCTGAAAAAATTTAATACATTGTCTTTAAGCATAAATCTTTTTTTAAAGTGCAAAACACAAATTGGATTATGAGCTCATATTTGTCACAGAGCAGCTACAGATGAGACTTTTTAAGAATTAAATGAAGTTCTTGAACCGCTGAACATAAGCATTAGCTGGCAACTTATTTCAGCAAGTATTAAATTACAAATTCTACCAGGTTAGTGGAAGTGGGTGCAAAGTTCACCTGGAGTGGAATAGTGAAAGCTCATTTTGCAAAATTTATCCCCATATTACACCAGCAGCTTAATATGGGCTAGGGGACAGAGTGGACTAGTCAAAAGGGTTATATTTCTTAAAGTGTAAATGTACATTTAAAGTTTAAAACTATCTGTAGCCTACATCTTAGTGTCATCAGTTCCATGAAATACGTTGCTTTCTTCCTAATCACCAGTCAAATCAGCTTCATTGATAATTTCAGAACATGAGGTGTCCAAAGAAGGGAATTCAGCCTGAGAGGCTGTCAAAATGAGGAAGTGCAGGGAGCCAAAGGCTGCAGGTGAGGCAGGTTAGAAAATGGCCTGCTCTGTCTGCATAAACTCTCCTAGCTGAGAGCCATCAGCGACCACATTTGAAACCATCTTCAATGTTGCATCTCCTGTATGTGCCTGGAATTGTTAATGCCTGATAAATTCTGTGAGCTACCATGCTTCCATTTAGAAGACAGTTTGAGTAATAATCTAATTTTATTCACACTTAACAGACATTTTCACATCCTAAAAAAGACACCTGTATATAAAGAAGGTTATTTCAAAGATAAATTTTTAAGAAATAAGCAACCTTAATTTAAAATATAAATTTGTCTTTATTACTTTTCATTTTGTTTATATTTCTTTGTATTATTTTGCATTTATTTACTATATCCTATGTTTTTGCACTTACAATGTAAGATTATATCTGTTTACATAAAAAATAATATTCAGCTCCAATAAACCCATAAAAAATTACTTTTTAAAATGTAGTAAATATTTAAAACATTTTAATAAAAATGAACATGAATCCTATGTTAAAATATCACAGTATTCCCCACAAAGTAGTTCAATGATAAAGAGATATTGCCTGATATTTTACATAGAATTCGTGTCTTTATCTCTATTCTCAAATATTTTCTTTTAAAACAAATGCTTTTGTTCCTTGTAAGATATTTAATCCATTGGTAGTGCATATTTGTCATTTGTGATTATTTGTAAGTAATTTTTTACTAACAAATTTTAGGGTAAAAATCATATTCAAAATACTCTTAATTTTTGAAATGTCATTTTTTCATACTATTTTTAAGTAGTTAGCTATATTGTTTTGTGGATTTAAAAACACACACAACACTTCCACTTCCTACATTGATGAGATCAATTTAGCAGATTCTGAAACCTTAAGATAGAGTTAATGCTTACTGCTCACCATCATTGAGAATTTCTACACAACAGATCAACTGTACCACACTTATGTTTGTAGACTATTTTGCCCAGCAGCTCAATCAGGGATAATGCCACTGGGGCAGGGGGGAAAGGAGGGGGGACTCTAAATTCATGTTTATATCAAATTGATACTGTTCTTTTTTTAACCTGTATAAAAACTTATCATCCAAAGCATATTAAAAAACATATACCGGTAATGTTTAATTTTAGCAGGGTTGCCAAAGTACTGACAATGAACCAATACCATATAAATACACTTATTTTGGCAATGACCCACAAGGTTAATTTCTAGAGCATTCAACTTAATATAATAAAGTAACTCATGAAAATTAAACTTTATAATTTTTCCACTTTTGATACTATATAAATTAGGTAATACCTGTTTATAGCACTTGAAAAAATTCTGTATACTAAAATTGCTGCAGTCTATAAGGTATATACTATTTAGAAAACATAATTGATCAAACATTCTTTTCAGATATATACATATAAAGGTGAAAATCAACATTTGTAGCATGAATAGGTTTGATTAGCAAATGTCAACCACGTAGATATAATTGTCTTAATTAACGTGTGCCTAATTCTAATCCCCATTATACCTGAGAAATCTGTAAGTTACATCGTGAGTTGTAATCCCCCATCTACTACCAGAACATGCCCTGTAATATAGGGTGATTCTAAGAGAAATACAACTGCGTGTGCCACATCAATGGGGTCTCCAAATCTCCCAAGAGGGATATTTTTCTTTAAATGTTCTTCATTCAAGGCTTTCGTCATATCTGTATGAACAAATCCTAAAAGAGAAATGTTTGTTTAGTAGAAAAGAGTAGATACTATTATAACACAGTTGCTCAATCTCAAATAAAAATAAATGTGTCCAGAAAATATATTACTAATAAACCTGTGTAGAAAATACAACAGAGTTTTGCTAGCAATCAAGTAACCAAATCTACATTTGTATTTGACTTCTTAATGAACATTTATTGAACACTAAAATCTTTGACTCTCAAATATTAGGCCCAACTCATAGCAAAATGTAAGTAGGTACATGTAAACATGAATAAAAATTATATTCCTTGGGGAACCTAAAATTTAAGGAGGAAATAGTCACTTGTACCCCTAATTATAATGTAAAGAATATCCTGATAGAGGTATACACAAAGTACTACAGAATGGATTTTCACTTGAGAGATGTAGAAGGGGTAAGGTAAGGTAGAGGGAAGGAAGGCATCACACAAACTGATTTGGCACTATGACAAAATTAATTCCATTTGCTATAACTATAGCAGCTGATGATTAGAAAGACCAGTATTTCCAACATTCATATAACAAAAAAAAAATCTTTGGGTCATATCCAATTCTGATGGAAGTATAGAGAGAAAATTAAAAATTTAACATGGCATTGGAGTGTGCAATAAAGTTTGCAGAGAACATGTTCTAAGGTATAATGTTCTGTAGTATAAAGTACTATGCAATATTTTAAGCAACTAATTCTAAATGACTCATAGATATATGCCAGGATTATAAATTTATTAATAAAATCTTGTGATTAGCCTGAGGCAAACAAACACCTATCTATCTATATAAAAGCCTAAGCAACCATGGCAACTGAATGGATGACTAAACAGGCTGTGTGGGGTGAGCAGCTGGCAGGGGAGTTAGTGAGGGCTGACCAAATGACTGAGCAGCAGGCTTTGTGGGGCAACCAGGCCAGCAGGGGGGTTAGAGAGGGACGACCAAACAACCAAGCAGGAGGCTGCGTGGGGTGACCAGGCCAGCAGGGGGGGAACCGGGCCAATATGTGTGTGTGTGTGTTGGGTGGGGGGGGGGGGAGCAGTTGGGAGCAATGAAGCCAGCAGGCAGAGGCAGTTAGAGATGATCAGACAGGCAGGCAGGTGAGCACTGGGGAGTTAACAGTTCAGGATTGTGAGAGGGATGTCTGACTGCCGGTTTATAAACCAGCAGTCGGACATTCCCCGAGAGGTCCCAGATTGGAGAGGGTTCAGATTGGGCTGAGGGGGACCCTCTCTCAGCCCCCCCCCATGCATAAATTTTATGCACCGAGCCTCTAGTTATCAATTAAATACTTTATATAATCAGTATTTATTATTCAATAATTTAAGATTAAAAAAAGAAAGCAAGTAAGTACTCATAAAATGAAAAGGTATTAGAAAAATATAAAAATGTTTAAGGTGATAATAAATGGATTAAAAGTTAGACATGAAATGTGAAGTGAAAGTTCAACTTGCTATCTCAAAATAAAGTTTCCAAATTGGCTTATGTTAAAAATAAATTACATCTAAAACTATACATCAATTTAAATATACTGCCATTTAAAATACCAATTAAATGTGAACTAAGCTCTGGATTAAGAGTTAGAATTAAGCCACAGGTTTATTATGCACTACTATGTAATTATTTAATTTTTCTTTGCCTGAAGTTTTCACTTACAAATATCTAAATATTTGCTTAAAAGTCCTGTGAGAAATAATCACAGACACATATGTACTAGTAATACCCTAATCAATAAAGAAAAAAAAAAAGAAAATTAAAAAAATAATCATAGATTTTTTTCTGTCAAGAAGCGTATGCAATGACAGCTTTGTTAGGGAAAAAAACTGGAAATAAGTTGAATGTGTTTTGATAAGAAATTAGCTATAGAAGTCATGATACACACACACACAATAGAGCAATGTGCAGGCATTAAAATATTTCTATAGAAAGATGCTTAATATAAAACATTTGTATATTTAAAAAGTAGGTTACAAATAAATTCAGTCATACTATTAGAAGTATAAACTTCCAGTTATCCTATCTAATAAAAGAGTAATATGCAAATTGACTGTCACTCCAACACACAAGATGGCTGCCCCATGTGGTCAAAGATGGCTGCCCCCATGTGGACACAAGATGGCTACCACAAGATAGCCAGCAGGGAGGGCAGTTGGGAGGGACCAGGCCTGCAAGGGAGGGCAGTTGGGGGCAATCAGGCCAGCAGGGGATGGCAGTTAGGGGTGACCGGGCCCACAGAGGAGGGCAGTTGCAGGGAACCAGATCTGCAGGGAGGGAGGGCCTAAAATAAAGCAGTTGTCAGAGGCCAAGTTGAAAGGAAAGGGATGAATTTACCAATAATGTTTTTTCCTCTTTGATTATGATGTTTGATAGAGACAACAAGAACATGCCCAAAGACATAATTATCTGTAACTTTTTTTTAACAGACTTATATTTTTTAGACCAGCTTAGGTTTATTAGAAAATAGAGCACAAAGTATTCCCATATCCTTCCTTATCACACTGCACCTCTCCCCACCATCTGATTTTCCCTGACATCCTGCCTTAGTATGAATACTTGATGAACCAATATGGATACAGAATTATCAAGTCAAGTCCATGGTTTACATTAGGATTCATCCTTTGGATTGTACATTCTGTTTTGACAAATGCACCATGTCATGTATCCACCATTACAGTATCATACAGAATAGTTTTACTGCCCTAAAAATCTACCTGCAGCTTTATAAAACTCATATATCATCCCCTAAAATATCATAAATCAAATAAAAATGTGAAGCTAGTCTCTGACAATAAATTACTTCAGCTTTAACAAATTACAATGTCATTTTATTCAATAGTAATTGAACCACACAATCCTCATCGATGCATATATTCACAGGGCACTGCATATCAACAGTCTTTTGGATTCCTAGTATCTCTTTAACACTCCACACACCCACGTTTCTATTGCTTTTCAGTTTATGCTTCCTCTCCTTAGTCCACAGATTGTCTCTTTACTTGTAATGTTCCAGAAATTGGCTCTACTCCTCAGTTTACATACATATTTACAATGCCTTTCAAGATGGGCTATAAAAATTATGAACTAACAGTAGGTAACACTATCTAACTGATGGTGTTATTACTGATCACTTGTTGCAAAATTAGAGGATTCCAGCTGGCTACAAAGCTTAACAGATAAATGAAATGGTACACACTCAACCAACATAGAGCAAGGATACTGCTACTTTAATTCAGTAAATAATGATATACACATTATTGCTTTTCATAAAATACCTGATGCACAAAATTAGTATAAGAGTAGGCCTTCCTTTCCTTGGATGCCAGCACCAGCTTCCCTCTGACACCCAGGACCCAAGCTTTCCTCCAGCTGCAGGCAGGCACCCAGGACCCGGGCTGCTTCCTTCTGGCCACCCGCAGGCACTCAAGACCCGAGCTGGCTTCCCTTAGGCCACCCACAGGCACCCAGGACCTTGGCTGGCTTCCCTCTAGCCCCAGCTTCGTCAGGAAGGACATTAGGAAGACATCCAGTCTAATTATCATATTACCCTTTTATTCTTATGGACCAGAGGCCCAGTGCACAAAATTCATGCACAGGGTAGGGGAGAATTCCTCAGCCCAGCCTGCACCCTGTCCAATCCAGGAACCCTCAAGGGATGCCCGGGACTGCTGGCTCCTAACCGTTTGTTTGCCTGCCTGCCCCTAACCGCTTGCCTGCCTGCCTGCCCCTAACCGCTTGCCTGCCTGCCTGCCCCTAACCGCTTGCCTGCCTGCCTGCCTGCCCCTAACCGCTTGCCTGCCTGCCTGCCTGCCCCTAACCGCTTGCCTGCCTGCCTGCCTGCCCCTAACCGCCTGCCTGCCCGCCTGCCTGCCTGCCCCTAACCGCCTGCCTGCCCGCCTGCCCGCCTGCCCCTAACCGCCTGCCTGCCCGCCTGCCCGCCTGCCCCTAACCGCCTGCCTGCCTGCCCGCCTGCCCCTAACCGCCTGCCTGCCTGCCCGCCTGCCCCTAACCGCCCGCCTGCCCCTAACCGCCCGCCTGCCCCTAACCGCCCGCCTGCCTGCCCGCCTGCCCCTAACCGCCCGCCTGCCCCTAACCGCCCGCCTGCCCCTAACCGCCTGCCTGCCTGCCCGCCTGCCCCTAACCGCCCGCCTGCCCCTAACCGCCCGCCTGCCTGCCTGCCCCTAACCGCCCGCCTGCCTGCCTGCCTGCCCCTAACCGCCCGCCTGCCTGCCTGCCTGCCTGCCCCTAACCGCCCGCCTGCCTGCCTGCCCCTAACCGCCCGCCTGCCCGCCCGCCCGCCCGCCCGCCTGCCCGCCCACCTGCTCGCCCACCTGCCCCTAACCACCTCTGCCTGATTGCCCCCTAACTGCTCCCTCCTGCTGGCCTTATGCCCCCTAACCGCCCTTTCCTGCCGACCTGATCACCCCTAACTGCCTCTGCCTTGGCCCCCACCACTATGGCTTTGTCTGGAAGGATGTCCAGGAGATGTCCTGTCTAATTAGCATATTATCCTTTTATTAGTATAGATGAACTCTTTAGAAACAAGGTCACTCATAAAAACAAGTATGGTATGTGCTTCTAATCCAATGAGAATTTATATGTGACAAACGCTAAAGAAAATGTACTTCTTTTATCCATTCCTGGCTAGCTATATAGTATAAATAGCTTCTAAATTTCATATTACTTGGTCACTATTTTATTTTTGAACATTTTGGTATACAGCAAAGACTTTATGTTTAAATAAGATACCAGCATATTATACTATCACCAGTATTAACAATTATGGGGTGTAACTACTAGATATTTCCACCACCTCAGAAATCCAATCTCTAGGATTTCGAAAAAAATAAAATAATCTCAGATATTTCTTTAACACGTTAAGCACCCAGTCACCGGTGATTGACACTCTACTTTCCATCCAGAAGACAAAACAGGCTGGGCGCTTAACGTGTTAAGGCAGAAGAAACAAGGCTGTTGACAAAAACTAGATCAAGATTTTAACCAGAACCAATCTGTATGTCTTCAGATGATGTTTATACAAATGTATAAGGAAGCAGTGTGTAAAAATCAACTCCACACCAAAGAGCTCATAAGAGTACCTAGAATAATATCCGTCTTGAGTAGCTGCCAAGTTTATGCAAGCATTTGTCCACAAGACTTTCTCCAGGTAGTGAAAATAAAAACTCTTCAATTTAAAAACAAAACAAAACAGGAGAGGGCAAAACAGTTAAGGTATCCTAACAAATAAATGCAATGCTATTTTATTTGTCAAAACCTTAAATGATATACCCAGTGAGCCTTGGCCATTTCATTTCCAGGATTATATTCATATACTCGCACATGTGCAAAATGAAGTATGCACAAGTATTCTCACTGCATTATTAGTTGTAATGACAAAAGATCAGACACAACCTAAATGCACATCAAAAGGCAACAGGTTCAATAAATTATAGTACACCTGTAAAACAGAAATTATCTTTCAACTAGCCATTAAAAATAATGCAGCAGTCACAAAAGACTATAAGTTATATGATTTCATTTACATGAACTGTCCAGAATAGAGAAATCTATAGAAACAGATTAGTGGCTGCCAGAAACTGGGGACATTGTAGAGAAATGGAGAGTAAATGCTAATAGTACAGGGTTTCTTTAGAGATGATGAGAATGTTCCAAAATGTATTATGGTGGTAACAGAACAATTATGTGGCTATACTAATAGCACTAAATCGTACACTTTAAATGAGCGCATTGTATATTATGTGAATTATATTTCCATAAAGTTATTTAAAAAGTGATGCAGCACTACATGGAATAATAGGGAATCAACTCCAAGATTCATTGGTCTATAAATAAAGGTAAAGAACAGTGTGAATAGTATGACATAATTTCTGTTTTGTTTAAAAAAGAGAGAGAGAGAGAGAATACACATACACACTTTATTGGCTTGTATATGAAAAACAGAAGAAACTAGTTACCAGAGTGTTGCTTTTGAGGAAAGGAGCTTGATGAACAGAGGAGCGAAGACTCACTTTTCCCTCTAGGTCTTTTTGTACTTTTGAATTTTGGACTATGTTTGTATTATCTATGGAAAACACATCTTTAAAGCAAGGTATCCATTACAACTTCCACTTATCAAATACTGCTTCCCATATTCTATATTTTCTAACTAGTAAGATTTAACTATGATGAGTAATTTATTTTATATTTAAAGTAATAACAAAGCTTAGCAACCTGATCTTTCAAAAAAATCAAGAGCCCTAAAGCAGGTGATTCAATTGGTTGGAGCATCCTGACATACACCAGAGCTGCAGTTCCAATCACAGTCAGGGCACACACCTAGATTGTGCGTTTGATCCAGGTGGGGTGCATACGGGAGGCAACCCATCCCTGTTCTCTCTCACATCAATGTTCCCCTCCCCCGCCTCTATCTATCTCTCTCCCTCCCTCCTTCCAAACTTCCCTCCTTTTCTCCCTACACCATCTCTAAAATCAATAAATACATACCCTTGGGTGAGAATTAAAAAATAATAATAATTACAATATTAAACAGCAAATGACAGCCTAATGTATTATTTTCCTTTTCTCTTGCTTTTCCTATTATGAATTACTTTTTAAATTATGTTCATTCATTGGAAATTCCAATTGAAGGTGACTAGGAAAACTGTTAATTCTGATATTTGTCGGGTCTACTAAAAGATCTGGCAAAGAATAGTATTATAATTCTATAGAAAATAAAGTTAATAAATAATCCATAGAATCAATTTATGATAGATTCAACTTAATGTACTATTTAAACGTATACTTCTGACCAATGAAACATATTCATACTATGAAACCTACTAAATATATATAGCCAATATTGAACAGCCACAATTTTAGCAACAGTTTTTTTGTGTAGTAAAAACTGCACTGGAAAGATCTTTAGAAAAGCTTATACATACAAATGCACTTCCATAGCACTCATAAAAATTCCTTTTGTGTACAAATTGCATTCCCACTATTAGCCTGTTGCCTTGACAACTAATTCACACCAACAAAATGACGCATTCATTCTTCAGCGTTTCCATAGCATCATACATGTATCTTTGTATGCATCACATGCCACTGTAGTTATTTGTTTACATGTCTGTCTCTCCCACTGTACTTAGCTCCTGTGGCAGAGTATCTTATTCATTTTTGCAATTTTGGAAGCACTCCCATGCATAAGCCTGCTGAATGATTTATTATGAGTTAAGAACACTTACATTGCCCTGAAACCATCGGGGTTGAAATCACTATGACCTAGAATTAACTCTTCGTTACCCACATCACTGCCATCTCCAAAAGAGAAGGAAGGAGACACATGCAGTTCCAACCACAAATGATCTGTTCTCCACAAGGATGAGCGAGGCCAACACTAAAATCAATCAGCTGTACAAAGCGTCACAAACAGGAAGCAGTGCCAAATGGCAGTGCAGCTTTGGATTATTTTTTTTCTTCTTCTTCTTTTCTTGAAAAATGGATGTACTGTATCTAAACCACAGTCTATCAAATGTTCATGGATTTGCAATCCTTGAATTTAGCCAGTCTCTGTGACAAAACATTGCACTGGGATACAGGCACATTCCACAGCAAAAGGGCTATCAGAACATTTGACCATTCCCATTTTCCTCTCTTTCAACATCAGTGCTAAATAAAACACCGATTCTAGTGTCCAAGCTGCAGCCGTTAGTGACTTGACAAGAAAAGGTGGCAAGGTCTATTTCCTACTTACTCTTTCTTACAACCAAAAAAGTAAACAAAATGTCTTTTCTTGATATAGGTAACCAAAATTTCTATCACACCATCTAATGAGTGATGGTAGATTCAAGTTTTAGCATAATTTTATTACCCTCTTAACTACCCCAGGCAATTTTATCAACTAGTAACTTGGCAAAAGGAAAATAATATAAAGGTAAAAGCTATAGAATTGGATAATTGCAGATAGTTTAGACAGGCCATAGTAACAAAAGGACAAAAAAAGACCTAAAACCTTCTAATGATACAAAGGAAATCTAAGGGGCCATTATCTGGGGATGAAAAGATAAAGCTTTTAGTAACAGTCCTGACATAAACCTTCGGCTAGTCACTCAGGTCCTAGTCTTCTGAACAGTAAAAATGACTGGAATAAATGAGCTACAAGATCCTTTCCACCTCACATTTTCCCATAATTAATATTTAAACATAAAGATTTTAAAGATAATATAAAGTACTGGGAATTTTTGTAGTCACCAGTTCATTACTTATTTTCATAAACATTTTAGAATTATTCTACCTATGAGTACCAATTAATAGGCCAATTAATGGCTTCCTTCTCTATAAAGAAAAAAATGAAGACTTTCTTTATAGAAACTATAATTCTGGTAATTGATTACCAGTTACAAATAGACAAAGTTAATTGCCTATACATCCCATTTATCCAACAATATTTTTCAAGTAATGTGGATACCCAAAGTCAGCCTATAAAAGGAATAGGTGCACAAATAGGTTCCTCTTGACTTCTTAAAGGGCTCTGGTTTCACTCTTGCTTTGTCTCACAGGTGAATTGACCTCTGTTGGCTGGGGTTTTCCGTCATGATTAACAAGAACACAAGTGTTCCTGATTGATTCCCTAGGAAGACAGCTCTATTGCAAGTTTCCCACTGTAACTTCTACTACTTTAAAAATTCAGTAAACAGCCACCTCTCTATCCATATTCACTGTTGGCCCCTCCCAAATATGTCTGATTTTAGAAATCTCAGTTCCTCCTGCACATGGAATTGAACTTTTTGGTGCCAGAGTCCAAGTGTTCTCCTTTCTGTTAAGACGCACTACCACTTTGCTCCCCCATGACATCACAGAGTGAGCTTCCACTCGGTCATTCAACAGGCAACTGCCGCCAAAATCACTTTAAAACCTAATTACTTCATGGAGTGAGTTTTTAAAAGATCTTTCTTCTTCCTGAGTCTGTGAAAATCTCTTTTATCCTTTGTGTTGAATTTCTAACATGAACCTGGGTGGCTCTCTTAGGTACAATGATGTCCAGTGAAAGTTATCTTGTCTATTTGGAGGGGGAAATTATATAACCTCTGGCAATTCTTTTTCTGCACAAATACTGACTTTCTGGAGTAATTAGATCAGCCAGTATACATGGCTGCTTTGGGAAATGTGCAAACCATATCACCTATGCAGCCTTGTTTCCTCTGGATTGTACTATTATTAAAAGCATATTGTATTACAGAGCTATTCTGTTACTTCAAATATAAAGAAGTATTGTGTTCCACCCCCACACACACACACACACACCTGAAATTGTTACATTCTTAATTTATAACTGATTTTTAAATGAGATGTTTATCTTGTAATTTTAATTTGGGAATAATCTTTCAGTAAAAATGTAACATGGTTTATGCAAACAAAACAACCTGGCATTCCTGTTGGCCTCCTTCTTGAGGACGGTGCACAGGCTGGCAGTGTGGCCAGGGAGGTCCTGTCAGGACGCAGGAGAGACCTCCTGCATGTCATTATTCAAGAGTCTAGTGACTGCAGATTCCCCATTCCTGCACCAATATGCTGAGAAGCCTAATGATGCTGATGCACTTAAAATCTCTGCAATTATTGTATAAAGCCATGAACATACATAAATGTGTAAGAAGAAAGAAGTTTTCACTGACCTGGAGCAACCACATTCACTCTAATTTTCTTTCTTGCTACTTCCTTAGCAAGAGCACGGGAAAATCCAACCAATCCTCCTTTAGCAGCACTGTACACAGACTGACCAGCATTGCCTTTTAAACCAATAATGCTCCCTAGAAAGAAAGAAAATAGGCAAATTCAAGTCAATTTCCTGGGGTTATCAACTATGGAGATAATTTATACTAAGCAAAAAAAAAAAAAAAAAAATGGTACAAATTATTTTACCTTGTCCTTTGCTAAAATTAGGAATTCTAGCCATGTCGCGTTAGTGGTAAATCTGCTCAGATACTCAGAAAACAGGATTTGAAAAACACTTATTTGAAACCTCAAATGCCAAGTGGGATTTGAGAATTGATCCATTAAATGAAAGAAACCCACTTCTATCTCTGAAAAGGTCAGATATAATAAAAATTTTACAGTATTTTTAAAAGCTTCCAGTAGGAAGAAGATAAAACCAGAATAAGTCAGATTAATTTTATAATTCTACAACACAAACAGAGAAGCATTCATTCCCACCTTTAAAAAAAAGTTCATCTGGAGCTAAATCTCACTAAATTTGAATTCCTGTCCATCTAAGAAAAGCTTCAATTACAAACTTTTGGTAAAATTTCAATTTAGTTACCTTCAGTTATATAGTATAACTCACACTGCCTACTAAAGATTTTAGATGGCCTCATTTATATGAATATGAAAGAATAATTTATAATTCAAATATAAACTATATACAAATAAATTCATACAAAACTTAAGTGGGGAAGTAATTTTCTGCACCATTGAGTGATCTGTACTTAAGATATAAAATTAAAGAAGAATCTCACAAAATATTTGAAGTAATTTTATTTTAGAAAACCTTCCAAGTACTTTTTATATTATTATCAACAAGTCCAATATTAAAATGTTTATCTATATTGTATCTTAATAACAAACAATGAGAATGTGAGGTACAGAAAGAAAAGAGAGCAGAGGAAATGAAGATGGACAGAGCAAGGTGTGTTTGGAAGAGAGAGGAATATGCAGAAACACAAAAAAGAAAAAATTTATATTGCCATGGAAAAAAGGCCAAAGGAAGCTATAAAAGCTTAGTTCAGCCCTAGCCAATTCGGCTTAGTGGATAGAGCTTCCACATGTGGCCTGAAGAGTCCCGGGTTCGATTTGGGTCAAGGGCAGCACATGCCTGGGTTAGGGGCTAGATACCTAGTTGGGGGCTGTTCAGGAGGTAGCCAATCAATGGTTCTCTCTCATCATTGATGTTTCTATCTCTCTTCCCCTCTCCCTTCCTCTCTGAAATCATTAAAATATATATACTTTTTTTAAAAAAAGCTTTGGTTCATGCCACATACTATTGTTCTTCTGGTCAAAAGTGGTAACTTCTGAAATACCATCAATTTTCTAGAAGTTTAAAGTAGTCCTTTCTGTAATAAGATTCTCTTAACTTAAATTCTAATTTTATTTACTTCTAGCACAATTCTAATATTTTGCATGCATACAAGGGAGTGACGAGGATTTTTTAAATACATCTGAAAAGAAGATACTTTGGAGTTAAACAAATACATCCCTGGTTATCGGGTGATGTATGCAGGCCAGTCTATCAGCAGCTTACAAGAACCTAAATCATTATCTGGCTGTGTTAGAAAGCAAAGGTCGGTTCACTTAATAATCTTTTATAAGAAAACCAATCTCATATTTTTAAGAATAAATGTCAAAAATGTTCTAATGTTTATTAGCACTATATTCTTTTCTCACTTTCAAAAAAGAAAAACCCTACAGTGGGCTTTGAAAGATATTCTTATATTAAGATAAATAGGGTCATTTACTTCAATGAAGAAATATTCCCCTTTTGTGGCTTTTAAAGGTATTACCACCTAAATTAACAAGCATAGCTACTGCATCTGAGCCCTGGTAGCTTCTGGCATTCCAATGGCCTCTGGGCACCAAAGCTCGGTATTTTGTCATTTACCATATAGCTGTGCTGTCATTTTCTAATACCTGCTGGTGTCAACTCATTCCACACCTACCTGACCACTGCACAGATGTAAATCTGTGATTCCTGTTTTACCCATTCATCAGTTAATTAAATCCTTTCTCCACAGATAATAAGATGACACATTTTCATCCAAGTTTCAGCCATGAACAAATTCCAATTCAGTCAATTATATATTTTATAGTACTAAAAGATAACTAAAAATTCACAAAGTGAAGACTCACCTACATTAACAATAGATCCTCTCTGTTGTTGAATCATAGTTTTCATGGCAGCTTTGCAGGTCAGCATGGAACCCAAAAGGTTAGTATGAAGCTGAGCTATCATATCTTCAGTTTTTGCTCGTACTAAAAGGCTGTCCCTAGAAATAAAAAGCACAAAACATAAAAACACTATTTAAAAAATCAAGAAATATATAACATTTTTACTGAAAGAGTATAAAAAATGCTTCATATCTGAGCTAGATTACCTAGAAAGTCCCATTTTTAAATTTGGTTTGAGGGGAACTAAATAACAAGTAATTAAGCCAGAAAGGATCTGCTTGGAAGCCAATTTCTATCCCTCAGGTAGAATTGCAAATATTCCTAACTCTGAGAAGTGGTGCCATGTAGCCAAAACAACTGGAATTAACGGAGCAAATACTATATTAAGCCTTCTTTGTTTATCATAATAACATATTATTCTAAATATTCTGTCCAAAATTCACCATAAAAAAATATATCAGCTGTGATCCCATTAATGTTAAGTTCATGAATTGACAAAACATATATGATAACAGAAGTCAAAATAGGTGTTACCTATAAGGAACTATTAATGTGGAAGAAACAGAGAGCTTTCTGAAGTGCTGGGAAAGTTCTATAGCTCAAGATGAATGTTGATTACAATGTTAAAAAATGATGGAACTGTGCCCTTATTGTATTATCTCAAAAAAAAAAAAAAATCAGGGATTTACAGACAAAATTTTAAAATACAGTTTTTATTCCAATTAGAAGTAAAACAAGTACCTGGCTCATGTCGCCTAGTGGTTGAGCAACAACCTATAAACCAGGAGGTCAAAGTTCAACATCTAGTCCAGGGTTGTGGGCTTAATTCCCAGTAGGGGGATAAACAGAAAGCAGCCAATCAATGATTCTCATCATTGATGTTTCTCTCTCTTTCCTCTCTAAAATCAATAAAACCATATATATATATATATATATATATATATATATATATATATATATATATATAGTAGATGTACTTAAATTAGGGACCAACCTGTTAATTCCAGCTGCATTTACCAAGAAGTTAACAGGACCTAAATTTTTCTCCATCTCTTCAAATGTGTGTTTAACTTCATGCTCTTTAGCAACATCACAGCTAAATGCCAAATGACCACCTGCAAAACAAAGATCAGAATTAGTTACAAGTTGTAACTGGAACTTAAAAATTATTTAATATACATTTGTTAATCAACTACCATGAGCGTGGCCTGTGCTAAACTAGAACATAGAGATAAAAGATGATGTCATGGGTTCCTGCTCCCAAGAAGTTCAGTTTAATAAAACTGGGATGAGGGCAAGTGGAGTACAAGGGGAAATAAAGTAATACTGCAGAATGTACATCTTAAAATTTGTTTTTAATCAACAAAAAGTGAAGGGGGAAGTCTTTTTTTGTGTGTTTATGCTTTGTAAAATTCACTTAATAATACTTAATGACCCCACTGACTCAATTCATCAGTCTTCTGGGTTTCATATTCCGTTTTTGAAAGTTATGTCTAAATCCTCATAGGGTTTTGTCCAGTTATTTTCCTGGTCTTGCCCTGAACATAAAATCTAGGGTTCCTTTATTCTTTTTCTTCTTCATTATGGTACATGTTTTATTATTACTACTCCTACTACTACCACTGCTATTACTATTATTCCAGCCTGACTATTAGGAGAGATTTTAAAAAATGCTAAAACTACAAACCATGAAAACTTTTTACTAAAAGCAACAATTATTTATCTTTTCTAATGTTCGTTTTTTTCAAATGTTTTATTAAATTTACATTTCAAAGAGCACTCTCTATTTAATAATACATCATTCTAACACTCTAAAACGTAGAATTTTTTAAAAATTATTTCTGGCTGTCCCTGCCTACCAGTTAACACTAGAAGCACTCCCTCAAGCCTTTAAAACAGTGAATCATTGGGAAGTCACACTTCTGCGTGTGAACCACTCCTGGAACATGACTCAAAGAAATGAACGGCCCACAGCATCCTGTCTCACTCCTGGCTTTCCGCTGAACAGCTGTTGGGTCCACAACCCTTGAAAGCTGCGCCATCAGTTCCCATCTGGTCCAGCAAACATGATGGCTGCGGTGACTCCATCAAGACCACCTAGTCCACCCCTTTGTCAAAGTAACTATAGCAAGGAATATGAGCAAAAAGCATTCACTGAAATCCCCCTAGTCTATCACTTGGGTGTGTGTTTCTTTTGGAAAGTCTAATATTCTCCTAACCAGTGTAACCCATTAGGGTAAACTAATGCCATTTTAAAGGTTCCAACCCCCAGGTGCATCCCCAGGCCTCTGTTCCTGGCAGTAAACGAGATGCATCTGCCCATCCCAGCAATTAAGCAAAATGGCTGCACCTTAGTACCTCCTTACCACCAAGAGACTTAAGTTTGAAAAACAAGTAATTGATCTATTATGAAATAAGGAAAACAAAATTTTTTTGAGGTTTAAATGTAATTAAAAGGAATCTGGTAGAACAAAATCTCAATTGCCCACTTGTAAAAGTCACCAAAAGAATTAATAACGAATTACGTACTTATGGAGATATTAAAACAAAGCAAACACATCTCAAAACTGACTGGTACTCAAAACATCTCTATGCATCAGTTTTGCGCATCCGCACTCAGGAAGGCACAGCCCTAAGAGGCCAGGCAGGTGTTGACACGCCTACCTGTCCAGCCTCACCTCCCTCCTGCCCAGCCCTGCCTCCGGGCGCCTGCAGGCTCGCCCTGATGGTGAGCCCTTCGCCCTCCAATCAAAGTCGCTGTTGTGTGGCTCTCTCCTTCCAGGCGCCACAACAAAGCAGCTCCCGAGGCCTGCACTAGCGGGGTGGGTGCCTATCAATGGGGCCTCACAAGACAGTCTCAACGACCCCAAAGGTCCAGCCTGCAGGAGGCGCTCTGCGGGGAACGTCGCGGGGGTGGAGGAGGGAGGTCTCTGCACAGCTCGGGAGGGGTGCTCCTGCACGTGGGCAGCTGAATTTGCCAAAACCCCGGAGCCCTCAAGGCCAGACCCGCTCCCTTTCCAGAGAAGGGGACTTAGGAGCTGGGACCACAGCCGGACCACGGGACAACTGCACCTCGATACCTACCGCCGAGGTCACCGGCGGCGGCTTTGGCCACTTGCAGATTTCTGGCGACGATGGCCAGTCGGTAGCCCTTCTGGGCCATTAGCTGGGCCACTGCCCTGCCAATGCCCCGGGAGCCTCCGAACACAGCACAGACTTTGTCCATCTCGGACGGGGGAGTCGGAAACTCGGAGGAAAGACGGCTAAGAGTAGCAGCCCCTTTCCTGACTTCCAGACTCGCGATTTTTATATCACCACCGCGAGGAAAAAAGCAGCCTGTTCCCCGCCTCCTGCCCCGGCCTCTGGCCAATCAGGAGGCCGGGAAGAGGCACGAAGAGTAAGGCGTCAGCGCGCACCGGTTCCCAGGCACCGCCCCCAAAGAGGACGCTGGAGCGAATGAGTCAGGCTGGCCAAGGACTGGTCCGAAAGGGAGTGCATTGCATGCTGGGACTTGTAGTCTCGGTGCAGAAAGGGCGGAGGCATAGGCCTGCTGCTCTATGAGAAATGTACCCCTTACTGCATGGGACATGGAAGGCGGAGGAGACGGGGTTGTGGTCAAAATTAGAGCTCTGATTACCAACCACTCCAGTTTGCCTGGAAGTAACTGGGTTGTTAAGACGCTGGACTTTATGTTTTAAAATCAGGACAGACCCCATTAAAACGATATAAGTTGATTACCAGAGTACACAGAATATAGGCAGGTATAAGTGAATCTTCGATTGGGGTGATGATGGCTGCAGGTGCCCTTAACCCCAGCGTTATTCAAGGGTCAACTGTACATGATTTGGAGTTCCAGTGTCTGCCTTTCACCCAGTGTTTGTCCTTGGCTGGGGAATACATGCCCTACTTGGAAGAAGTAATCCCTAAATATCAGGCTCATACCAAAACCTATCCTTACTTGTCCCTTCCCCCAAGTTGCCACAGAAATGGGCCTCAGCTCAGCAGGACATTATCATTCATCTCAAAACATGATGCCCTATCAAGAACACCTTGTGAGAGGAGCTCAAGAAGAGTTAAATGATTGAATACTCTTCCAGGACTCATAAAACAAGCATCAGCTGCTGCAAACAAATATAGGTGCTAAATACTCAGAATTAGTAAACTAAACGGTGAGCATTTGTTACAATTATACTGTAAAAAAAAAGAAAGCATTTCTTGCCAAAACCGGTTTGGCTCAATGGATAGAGCGTCAGCTTGGAGACTGAAAGGTCCCGGCTTCGATTCCGGTCAAGGGCATGTGCCTTGGTTGCCGGTACATCCCCAGTGGGGGGTGTGCAAGAGGCAGCTGATCGATGACTCTCTCTCATGGATGTTTCTAACTCTGTATCTCTCTCCCTTCCTCTCTGTACAAAATCAATAAAATATATATATTTTTTAAAAATTAAAAAAAGAAAGTGTTTCTTGATATAATATTATAGATGAAGTGTAAGCAATAGCCCCTACTACTTAACACACACATACACACACACACACATACACACACACACACACACACACACCTGGGACAATAGGACTAATTATATATATACTAAATTTTCTGAAACAAAGTGCAAAATTATATTAATATGAAAAATCAGAGAAAAGGGAGAAGATATGAATGCAAAGGGAAGCTAGATTTGAGGGGAAGTGGGGGGGAAAAAACTAAGCAAATTAAGCATTCTTTTTAAAATATAATTTTTATTCCATCTAGATCCAAAAGGGTTTTGAAATGACGTGCAAAAATATACAAGTAAAACTTCATGCCCATTAGGATGGCTACTATTCAAAAGAAATTAAGTATTGGTGAGAATGTGGAGAAATTGGAACTCTTGTGCACTCTTATTGGGACTGTGAACTGTCACTTTAAATTCATTAGAAAATAACTTTACAAGGCAAGGGACCACCTCAGCCCCAAGGCCAGAAAAACATAAGGTCAATGGGAAAGTTATATACAAATTAAGTCAAGCCAAAAATAAATAAATAAATAAATAAAGTCAAGCCATAAGAATATATTTGATAGGGGAAGAAACAAATCATAGTTGGGGACCAGCTATAATTTTAAGAAATACTAACCATGCTCTGTTTACTGTGATTATTTTTTTTTAAAAAGGCACATTCTAATCTGGCTGGGAGTGCATGTGGGACCTGGGAGCTCACGTGGAAATGCGTGGGTCCTCCCATCTGGGAGCTGCCTGCTATAATGGAAAGATTAACAACCTTATTGCAGAAACCTGAGGCGCCAGCCCTTTGAAGATCCCCAGCCTTTGCATACCCACAGGCCTTTACAAATCTCCAGACCCCATTACCTGTAAACTGCCCATCTGGCATACCCTTTTGCTTACTTCCCCATGTAATCTTTGACCTCCTACCCAATATAAGCAGCTGGCTTATGGTGGGTGCAGAGCAGATTTTTGTGGCTGACCTGCTGCTCTCTCATACTGCTGGCAGTATTGGAATAAATGCTTATATATTATATGATTCAACCCTTTGAATCATATATAAGGCAGTACAGATCCACTGATTGTCCAGTTACATATCAGTACTAAAGAAGAGCTGCATATGTTGTTCCGAGTTGCCTAGTGGCCAAAGCAACTAACAAAACACGATTAGTTACAAGTAATAAGAGCTATAAGAAATACAAACACTTGTGCAATAGAGAGATCTGAGTGAAATTTCTCCCTCATAGGTCCTCATAAAACAATATAGCGAACTTTGCTGTCATGAAAAACTGTCTATAATAATAAAACCATTACATGCTAATGAGACTGGACAGCCAAATGATCTTCCGGATGTCATTACAAATGTCCTTCCAGACAACCTCCTGGATGAAGCTGCAGTGGCAGAGGCCTAGGTGGAGGTAGTTAGGAGCAATCAGGCAGGCAGGCCCAGCAGTTAGGAGAAAGCAATCCTGGATTGGGAGGACGATGTCTGACTGCCAGGTAAGGCCCAATTTGCTGTAGGTTCAGGCCTAAACCAGTAGTCAGACACCCCCAAGGGGTCCCAGATTGCGACAGGGTGCAGGCCAGGGCGAGGGACCCTCCCCCCCACTTGTGCTTGAATTTCTTGCACTGGGCCTCTAGTATATTATAAGGTTATTTTTATAGCATCTATTTTTGTAACCAAAGGACAACACACCAAAGCAGACTTTACTGAAAGCAAATACGATAGGAAGTTAATCAATATAAGCAAACATACAGACATAAGAATGACTCCTTGTACATCTGAAACAAAGAGGAAATAAAGCTGGTGAGGGAAGGTTGGGATGGTGCTGAGTGATGGCAGATCTTAAAGGCAGACGCAGGCATTAAATAGAGAGGCACTTTGACCCCAATAGTTACAAGATAAAAACTGCATTTAAGAACAAATAGTCTAGCAATGCTATCAGAATGAGTTGGAGCAAGTTTGTCTAAGCCCCTCCTCTCACTACTCACACATATGCAACCTTGGAAAGAAAAATCTGTTTTAGACAACTGACCAATATGTGGGTCAGCCTAAAGGCCAAGTGTATTCTGGGATCCAGTATTGCAGGGCAAATCCAGAGAGGTTCAATCTTTGTGGACAGTTCTGTCGATTTCAATAGGAAAAGGGTTATATTTGTCCTACAATTGTTATCTCAGCAAAAAGCATGGTTTATTAGATCCATCCCAGCGACCTCAAAGATCATTAACACACAATGTGAGGTGGCATTCAAACTTCTCAAAACCTTCCATTTTTTTTTCTCACTGTGAGTCTACAGCAATGGTTAGGTTGAGCTTTCTTTTCTCAACACATACTTTAGTGAAACCCAAGGCTATTATTTCCTCCTCAATACAACAGCCACTGCTGCCTGGGCAAGAACACACCCATACACACCCACCCTGAGCCAGGTGCTCCGGAGGGGGAGGTTCTGCCTGACCCTCTGACAGAGAGCTGAGAGGCTGTGAATTACACGGGGCCTGCTCGCCCCAGCAGAGCAAAACTGAGAGCCAGGAGCCCAGGCACCTCCAGTCTTCTCTTCTCACTGCACATGTCACTTCTGATAATATTTTGACCACATATTTTATTTGTCTTTAATTTAAACCCGCCTCAGACTATATTCTTTCTTGACTCCAATAACCTGACAATAACAAGAGCAACTGAGAATATTCCTTATCGATAAGGACAATTAGCTAAATTTTGAATACACATACTTTGTAGTATTTTTTCTGGTTAGGAAAGGAATAGCATTTAATTGCAAAAGAATTTTAAAGAAAACAATATTTTTAAACATAAAAATTAATCGAAAGCATTGTGTACATTAAATGGGTAGATTATAGGGTATATATATTCTATCTCAATAAAGTGACTATTTCAAAATTAATTGAGCCATGGTTGACATCTCTCAGTGTTTAGAGTGTCAGCACTCAAACCGCAGGGTCTTGGGTTCAATTCTGGTCAAGGGGATATAGGTTCCCTGTTCTGGTTGGGGCAGGTACAGGAGGCAACCAATTACTGTTTCTCTCTCTCTCCTCTCACCCTATCCCACTTCCCTTCCACTCTCTCTAAAATCAGTAGAAAAAATATCCTCCAGTTGGATTAACAACAACAACAAAAAAATATTTAATTGAAAGCTTCTTATGTTGGGAGATGAAGTTTGAAACTGCAGCTAAAGGTAAGTAGGCTGAAGCTTCCACAGATAGTTATGTCATTAATGAAGAATTATAATCCTCCAAGAATCCAAATCTTTTGAAAATGTTATTTATCAGAAGTGAGTAACCCACAATACCCAGCCTGCATGTGGTAAATCTAGCTGCTCAATACAGCCCATGCTCTCATTGCAAGGAAAAAAAAAAAAAAAAAAAAAAGATCAGAACACTGCTTCGGTGTGACTGCACAGACACACCTGCTGTGAGTCACAAGCAATGTTGGTTTTCTTGACATTCCAAACTCGTCTGCTGCGTAATCTAAGTTGTAAGGAATGTGTGCTTTAACATTTACAACAGCTTATTGCATTTTGAATGAGAAGTGTCTGTGGGCACTTTCATTTTGATGAGTTGGCACTCATGCCAAAGAGGCTGCCCAAGGAGACTTAACCTACCTCCTGTATGCACTCAATTGCCTAAGGCGAAATGTAGAGTTTATCCCTACCCTCTCACACACACTCCACATGCACTCCTCAGAGCTCTGCTGATTCTCCTTCCTGAATATCACTCCAGCCTCTACCCTCTC